ACCCCGAATTATCTCTGGGGTGGGCGGTCGCCCCCTCTGCGCCCCCCCAGTTCCGCGGCGCCTGGTAAAATACTAATTACATTAGTATTAATATTTAATTGAATATTAAATAAAATTCTTTTATAAAATTATTTTTATGAAGCACATTATTGTTTCCAATTAATTAACTATGCCATTGCTTAAATATTAGATTTTATTTGTCTAATGTTTTTTTATAGGTACATGTCGTAAAACAACCATTTTTGTTTAATATGGTCTGGCAAATGTTCAAGCCATTCGTCAAGGAAAAGTTGAAGAAGCGTATGTTTTTCCACGGTACCAAGATGTCTTCCCTTCACTCTCACATTCCGCCAAGTCATTTGCCGAAAAATTACGACGGTCAGCTGCCAGAAATAGATTATGGCAGTGTCGATTGGTATCCAACATTAATCTCTAACGAGGAGAAAATCAAAGGTGAGATAAAATTGTAAGAAGATATCTCGATTCAAATTATCAATGATATTTTGGTATCCCTCACTTCATTCGAGATAGATCGTGATGGAAGAAAGGAATTAGTATTTTTAGAGATAATAAGAATAACATTCTGATAAACAGTTTTCTGCTATTGTTGAACATGCTAGATAATTTGATATTTGCACGAGATTACAGCGATTGAACACTCTTCTCAGAAGTGTAAAATAAATTTATACACATATGAAGAGTCAATGTTTGAAATTTTATACAGATATTTTAATTTTAATATGCATTTTGTCATGCATATTATTACATTTGTTTTTAAATGTGAATTGTTTTACACTAATTATCACTAATTCATCTTTTATTTCTTTCCTTAATAGAGTGGAACTCGTACGGACGCCGCAAGAATTAATAAACCAAATGTTCACCGAATAGTCGTCCTGGTAGAATAACGTTATTAAATATTTTTTATAATGCAATAGACTTTAGAAAAAAAATATAAATAAATATATGAATTAAATAAACCATAAAAAATCAATATCTAATAAAGGACATTTTTGTTAAACATCCAAAAAATGTAAAATTACAAAAAACAGATTTGTTTCATTTATCGCGATTTTTTCATACAAAGTATTAATTAATTAGCGTTGCTAATGAATTATTGAGATGAACCGTCTCACACTGTAATTTCATCTCTTTTGGATCGAATCTATTTTTCTACACGTATATATTTTACACATGCCCAATCTTTTTTGAACAAAATTGTATCGCGTATTCATATAGTACGACAATTATATTAATTGTAAAAAGAATCGCAAGGATTAATAAACTACAGTGTAATAGGTAATTATTCTCTCTTAAAATATAATATCTGAATATAATGATCAATGCTTTTATACACATAAAGAATTTTGAATTTTAGAAAATTAATTTTTTATTTTATATAATAGTTGATAAAATGTGTAATACGTATTTGTGTATACAATGTGTATACATTTTACAATATAAATGTGCAAATTCTTTAAGCAAAATTACGTTGAACAATTCTATTAATTATATGAAAAATATTATTGTGATTAATAAATTGCGAAAATTAGCTTAATATTACTTAATAAGAAACATTTTATATTTTATAAATTTGAAATGTTGAATTATATACATTAGCGGGAGATATCTTACACATAGAATTTGAAACATATTCCGTATGTCATACTTTGTCAAGTAAACTATTTTTTAATATTTTGTAATATAACATTATAATGTGTATATGCTTGTGATATATAATATATTCAATATTACAACTGTAATGCGTTCTAAATTAATACAAAAATGGAAGTATCTCTATTATCAAATTATGCAGTGATTATATCACACATATTTTCAATAATTTACTGCGCGCGTGCGCCCCCTAATTTTAGTCGATAAGTGTTGTATTGCATTGAAAAAAATCGCTTTTTTTTTTAGAAATTTCCGCAAGATAGCGGAATACACATGTATCTTATGGTCTGCGACAATGAGTATTGTATTAAAGTTTCAAGGCAATATCGAGATGGCCGTAAACGAAACCGAGCCGACAATTTTTTGCTTGCACTTTCCAAGCATGCACGGCGTGTAAAAAAATCTAAGAAAGGTTTCATTACACAAAAGTTGGAAATTTCTTTTTTAGATTGAGTGGCGATTTTTGATCGACGATCGTTGTTGCCGAGATATCGAGAGTTAAAGGAAAAATGGTCCTTTTTACTTTAAACCCTTATGTCTCCGTAACCAATAATCGCACAATGTTTTAAAACAAAGCATTTTAAAACTAAGACTTTGCTCTATCAAATGCATTTATTGCGTTTTCTTTAAATCGTTATTTTCTATATTATTAAACCAAATAAAAAACAGGTAAAAATTAGCGATTTTTTGCTTTTACCTTCAAATCTAAAAAATTATTATGGAAAATAATAATAAAAATTATATAACAATAAGATTGGTACTTTTTCTTTAAACTTTAAGTATCACAAATACTGAAAAAAATCGTCAAAATGTTGCGATTGTTTTTTCGTAGTGATTTAATGCGTCGATGCGTACAAAAAATTACTAAATTAGAAGATTTCCATTAGAAAACGCTAACGTAATAATATTATGGATCTGCTTTTTCTTTTTGTTGAGTTGTTCTGTGTTTATAAATTAAAATCAGATAAAAAGAAATAATTAAATTCGGCCAAATGCATTTGAAAATAGAGATTTGGAGCTTTAAAATGCCTTCCTTAGAAAATTGATATGACTTTTTGTTACAAAGTTACAGCCGTTTAAAAGTTGCCTTTTTTATAATCAAAAGTCAAATAATCCTTTAACTCTTTTGAAGAGTATAGATTTACATTTACATAAAAGTTGAAAAAACAAAATTGATATTATCAACGTTAATTATTAGTTACATTTCTTACAAAAAATTTTCTTTATCACAAAGAAGGCACTTCCTCCGAACAACGTATTTCGTTTCATTTGTAGATAGGACAAATTTCCTTTTTGCATTTTTGCTCTTTGAAGTTTTATGTCGAACAAATTTTGTTTTTTTTTTCTCATACAGATTTGACGATATCAGGGTTTAATCTAACAATAAAAAATTAAACAAGTACGTGTACGTTCAGTATTTTCTATCAGAAAAATTCTTCGATTCCAAAGGTTTTAATGTTAACAGTCTCTCTAAATTTGTTATCATAATCTCAATGTCTGATATCCGATATTATTTGATAATATTTATTTGGTCTTCGCCGTCTATTCGCGCAAAGGGAAGATCGTAGGATCGTAAGATCGTGGGACATAACAGTCTGATTAGTTTAAAATATTCATTGGTAGACTTTAACATCCGGTTTAAAATTAATTGCTTAATTTGAATTGGAAAACACTGGATAGTGTCTAGATCTGTATTTCATTATATTTTTATAATAAGTATTCCTATATAAGACGTTATGATAAATAATTCTATAATAAATTGTATTATAGTAAATTTTGATAAGGTTCAAATGATATCGCATGAAATGCGAGAGTATGTCTATTAAACTAACACAAATTATTTCCGTGCTATTGTAATTGTAATTTTTTCTTAAAAATTGTAATAAAAATTGAAATTTTTTCTTAATCAAAATCTAAGCTCTTGAATTTTGAATCATAACAAAATTTTACAAAAAAATAAACATACAAAAATTTCTTTAAGTAGTTATGTAGTTATATTGGTTGTGGCTTTGTATTTTTCCACGCTACTTAAACAACGTGGTCATATGTAACATTATATAATAATATTTAACACAAATAATTCTAAATTTTACTTTATTTTAAAGTCATGCTTATGTAAAAGTGGGGAAAACGGTAGGTAGCGTCTTGATCGCGCTACCTGAATGCAGTTCTTACCGGTCGTTCGAGCATATCGGTACTACTGACCTGGTCAATCCATTCAGAAGGATTTCCCACTTTTTGTTTTTATTTTACAATTTATCGCATTGTTCATAGTGCGCAAACTTATCTGAAAGAAAACAAAAAAAAAAACAGTGAAAGACGTTTTTGACCTATGATCATCGGCGAGCAATTCTACTTTTATCAGTGTGAAAATTGCTTTAAAAAAATTTTATAATAAAAGATACGTGATTTTGTGACACGTAAAAATTCAATAATCGTGCGATCGGTTCATTGATCGTCGAGATCTCTGTCATTTATTTAGGTAAGTTTAATAAATGTTTAGATACATTATGTGAACTGTATGACGCATATAGTTTCTTAGCATGTTGATCTTTGTTCATCAATGATAAACGTATGTATATTATCTCTCTTATCTCTCTCTTATTCGCGCTTTAAGAATAGACAGCGATATGTTTGTTTGATGTTAGAAAGTATAAGAAAGTGCAGTTAAAAAAGTGAAACTATAATTATCTAGGTAAGTAAGCATTGTTTGTTACGGAAAATGAATTTGATTACGTATTTCAGTTTTCTTTTAATTGGAAGATATATATATGCAATTATTTATTTAAACATATTTTATAAAATAACGTAACTTTTTACTTTAAACAATCGATAATGCGATCAAATTTGAGATAAAAATTTATTTAATTTTATATAATACAAAACATTTAAAACATTGGAATATACACACATGTGTAAAATACATATTATTAATATATACTTTGGTACATATTTTAATTTTTCCAGCTTCTGAGCTATTTTCTGAGCTATTATGTGTCTATTCGGAAAAAAATAGAATTATATATTACATTTGCTCTTTTCGAGCAAAAAGCATAATTCTGCCTTTTGTTCTTTTGTGACCAAAATAACTTCTGCATCTACGAACAAGTGGAAATTATATAATGTTATAATTATATAATGTTATATATTATCTAATGTTATAATTATATAATGTTATAATTATATAATGTTATAATTATATAATGTTTTTCATTTAAATTTTATAGGATTTACCTTCCGGTATATTGTGTAATACATTTGATGCTGTACTATTATGAAAATTTAATTATTACTTTTTATATTAAATCTTTTAATTTTTTATGCTAGAAGTGTCTTACCTACTAAGACATGACAGGTCGAAAAATCGGAATTTAGGCGCGCATAGACCTTTATAAACATCTAATAGACGTTTTTTCGACCTGTATTTCTCACTGAGTAATTAAAGTTTGTCAAATTAAATGTTTTTAGACTTGAATTATTAATCTTTTTATTGTTATCTTTAGGTGCTTGATAAAAACGCTTATTATATATTATCGGCGTCTTTAGGCACTCATAGTGTAAAATGTTAAAGTTACTATACTCTCGTCAATATTAACTTTTAACATTTGAAATTACATATTCAATACAACAAACTTGAAAACAGTCTTTTCGGAAATTTATTTAATTAATAAATTTTTTTTGTTAAGATAAGCAAATCATAAATATAAGATGAGAAAATCGTAAGATTATCTTAAATTTTTTGCAAATAAGTTTTACAAGACAAAAAAAATTGATATTATTAAATACAATTCAAATTCTTAAAATAAATAAATGAGATAATTCCACTTTGTAATAGCTGTGTAGTGTGATAAGCGAATATTATCTTATGTTATCTTATATACAAATTTGACTCACGAAAGTAGGAGGATGTGATTTAAAATGAAGTGCTCATAATTTGTAATTTATTATTGGCATTTTAATATGTAATATTATAAAAAAAATTTTAAATGTAGTGATTTTATTAAAATATTATTGCTATAAAAGTAATAGCATTTTTATTATTAAATGCTTATTAATTTTTTAAAGTTTTTCAAAAAGTGGATTGAACAAAGTGATTATACTGATTCTGTTGATTCGAAACGTTTTCTATATTTAATAAAGAAATCTAAATTCTTATTTTATTTTTTTTTTATAATAAATAAAAATATTTATTCCCTGAGTTGACAAAAAGGCAAAATAGTGCTAGTTTTCTAAATATAAAAAGAGAAAGAACAGGATTTGGGGACCTCTGTCATAAAATTCCTCAGACCGTTATCTCTCTGCGAGATTCTCGCAGCACACAATTCCAGTACATGTTCAACGGTGCATTACACTTTGTTCATGTTAGAGTTCTTCAAGTAAGAGTTAGGACACCGAGATGATGATTTTGGTTAGTGCGCCATATACGATAGAGAAACAACCAGAAAAAGTAGCTTTAAAATAGTAGTACTTAAATGAGGTACGTATACGCTAATAAAGTTATTAAATATTAAGATAGAATTATGTAAAAAAAAAAAACAAATCGGCAGTATCTGAGAGTATTCTCATTATTGTCCTGCATACTGTGCCGTGAACGCGTAAATTCGAAAAAACCTAAATGGTTAACTTTAAATGCTTCCCAAAATAATCTCAGAAATGTGCTTTTGCCGTGTGGTGTGGTTGATGTGTGACACCCTGTATATTTTATTGCATAATTATTTTAATTTCTTTATTAAAAAATTAATTTCTTTGGAAAAAATAGTTGTGTAATTTTAATAAGTTGAAACAAATAATTTGAATCAAGCGCCACAGTTTCTATTAATAGCGAACTGTATCCTAACTCTCACTTGAGAAATTCTAATTCATGTTAGACTCGTGCGCATTTTATGCGAACGTACAAGTGATTAAATTTCCGTAATTTTGAAATTTTGATCGACATGTACACTATTGAATAATGCAGAGCACAGAATACGCAAAATATAGGTAAGTTTAATTCTGATTTCGATTTGCTTTCGAAATTTGTGAATTATTTCATTTCTATGTAGAAGTACAGTTTGCAAAATTTACATCACGTGCGAAGCGTGTGTATATTCGAAACGAAATATCATTTTTCGCAATTTTGTTATTTCTTCTGATAACCTGCAATTTTATTTAATAGGTGTTTATTGCGATTGAATATAATGTCATATGCAACTATAAAGATCGACGGTTCTATAAGGGATTATATTAAATGGGTTCTTGATAATCGAGAGGCAAATAAAATAGAGCCAATAATGTTTGGAGAACATGAACTAAAGTTTGAGCTTGATGATGATCTCGAAGAGTTTTTCCTTCAGAAGGCACAAGAAGAATTGCGAGAGACGCCCGAAATCGTCGCCAAGGGCCACAAGGAATTGGCAAAGTTGATTGCAGGTAGCGAAAAATCAATCATATCAAAAAAACAATAGTTCTCACTTTTATCTCGGCAAAACTGATTTGTCTCTAAAAGAGCGAGGCGTAAACGAGAAACGCAGTCAATGCAGTTGTATAAATGCACTGAACCAGTTCCTCGCTACGATAAACTGCCAAGAACTCGTCTGCTTGATGTTCTTGATATTACTTTCTTTCTTCGCATTATTGTGTTTTTGTTTTCCAATCGGTTTCTATATTGTAGATCGACAAAGAAAAAAGCAAAAAATAGTTTGTTTTTTTAAAAAAGAGTTTTGATACTACTCCTTCATTATATTTTTCTTGCTCATCTTCGTAAATCTTGAAAATTTTCTTTGTTTCTTGAAAAAAAAAATTCTCCAAGAAGTTTTCTAGAAATTACTTCTGTTGAATTTAAGACAACGTACAATGCCAGTGTAATAAAAATAAAGTTATTTATGATTCCAAATAGTAAAGAAAATAAAAATAAATAATTCATAAAAAAAATATGAGTTTGTAAGGTCGCGACAAGTAAAAGACTTTCTCCTTTACATAATTCTTAATGAAGCAAAATGTACTACAATATGTTTTTTCAGCTAAATAGATTAATTCCACTTTACTGTAGAAAATTGCGTAATACGTTAAAATAGCGATGAACAACAAATTGAATGTCAGTTAATTAGTGTTTTTTAAAATAAGGATAAAATTGGGCAAATAAAATTTATTATTTATCATGCATAATACAATAGTGAACTTAATGAGAACAAAAGTATTCAAGCAACACAAACTCTATATAAATTCAATCATAATCGTGCGAATCGAGTAAAAATGAAAGTTACTTGCATATGTGATAATCTCCAATAAAATCACGTTTCCGCCGAGACAAAAGCGATCAGCAAGAATTTAAACAAGAATTATTGTTAAAGAAACAAATTTTTATACGAAATAATGACTAATAACTGAATGACTGATAATTAGCAATTGTAATATTAATTGCGGATAAAATTTTCTCTTTAATTTTAATAAAAATAATATGTACACTGGAAAAACAGTTTTGTTGTATTATAAGAAATTCTACCAGGTTGATTCTACCAGTCTGTTTGTTCGAAAATGGACAAAACAAATTTTTTGTTGAAATTACCAAAGGATTCTGATTAATTTCATCTTGTTTAAATCTACCAGAATTTCTTGTTAACTTTTCTGTATCATTTTGTTAGGTTAACACAACTTTGTAGTTAAAAAATGAGTTCGGATAAGTGTGATTTTTTTTAACTCGGGAGCCGGAAGCCCGGTAGGAAACATTGCATCACTGGTATACATATATTTCATAAAAAAAAAACAAACATCATGTGATTATAAAACTTTTTGGATGCAACCAATATTCCGTAATGAATTCCACGACGCGACGTAAACTTTTAGCCAGCTCAGTTGAGACGGTTGAGACTGCTCCGACTGCACTACTGCTACTGCGCCGCGAGTAGCGATTTATGTCAATATAACAAATGTTTTGTAGATCTAACAAGAAAACACTTAATCAAATCCTTATAGTAAAATTAACCAAACGGTGTAATTATAAAATGTTAAATCTTGTTACAATAACCAGGAATTCTGTTTTATTTAACTAGAATATGCTCAATCAGAAACGTTTTATTAAGATAATATTTCTTAGTGTGTCATTAATTTTTATATTATTATTGTTAACATTATTACTTGATAATTTGTGATTAATAACATGATTGTATTGCATAAATTGCATTGCGTAAGTACTAGTCTATTCCGGATTGTCATCATTTCCGTGGATCTTTGACCTTTCGAAATGTATTTAAGAGATTGAAAAAAATTTTTTGCGATTACGTGATAATCAACATTGTTTGTAAATTGTTTTGTCTTGCAATTATAAAAAAGCAAAATTATTTTATATGTACCAGTAAAAAATAAGTAATAAATTAAATTTTTCAACATTTTTTTTTAGTCTAGTTTTATATTCACCAACACATATATTTTATAACCACTATATATAAAATGACTATTAGAAAGATGTCTTAAATAAATTGCAACTTTGCAGCAAATAGGCAGAATAATGTGAACTAAACATCATTTTGTAGAAGAAACTTGTCAATTTTATTACACATAGTACAAAAAAAGTATATATATAATAATTATATAATTAGAATAAATATTTTTAAAAAATACTACAATCTGTCTAGGCGTTTAGTGATAAATATTTTCGCAGTGTTACGTATTGGAATTAACACAGAAACTCAAAAGTTTTTGAAAACTGTTAAATATATGTTTGAACATAAATGGGAAAATACCTGATTGCATTTTTGAATACTCTGTTTCAGCTTATTATTGTTTATTAATGGACAATATTTTGAAAATATTTATTACCAAGCGCCCAAACAAATTTGTAGCATTTTTTATGTTGTTTATTTTAATTATTGTATACTTTTTTCATATTATATGGAATAAAATTGACGGGTTTCTTTTACAAAATAACATTTAATTAATTTTATTTTGTTTATTCGTTGCAAAGTAATAACAAGTTACTTTAAACACCTTTCCAATGTCACCTTATATATATAGTCTCCGTATTGTTCTGGTGATTTCTTTATTGCTTCTTTATGTATAATAATAAGTGCCACAAGTTGATGTAATAAATTCTATTATTACATCTAATATTATTATTAAGATCGTATATTTTTGGAATGTTTAATGGCAATAACATGTTTAATGGCAGTGACACGTTAAAATTAATTCTATTTTTTCTTGTTTTATTAGAAACACCTGATTTATTAGAATATAATAAACCATATGATGAACATATATACGAAATATTCTTGCGGCCGTGTAAATGGTATGCGGAAAGCGCTTTTGCTCTTGTAAGTCAGAACATCTCTTAGAAATATAATTAATACTAATAATTAATTTTGTTTTAAATACTATATATATATATACATATACAGAATGTTCCGAAACTTGCACAATTAAGATATTATAATATTAAATTCCACAAAAAACAAAATAAAAAAGTTTTTTATAATTTTTCAATCCAAGAAATAGTTTTTGAAAGATAAGGATTTAAAACTCTGGCCAATCAGACTATATAGTTAAACAGTTGCTTGTTCTCTGAGTTTTCAAACTCACGGATAAACGACCGCTTAACTATACTATTGTATAATTGACCAATTTTAAATCTTTATATTTCAAAAACTATTGCTTAGATTAAAAAATCGTAAAAAGCTTTTTATTTCGTTTTTAAAATTTTTCGTGTTATAATATCTTGATTTGCAAATTACGGGAAACCCTGTATATATAAATTAATGTACGATTAATTTTATATGTTTTATTACATTTTATTACATTAATTTGACAGTTTTATCTTACAATGAGTCCCCAGCAAATATTTTATATAAATCTTCTTCAAGAATAATTTTTTTGCGAGAACTTTTTTATCAAAACAACTAAAATTTTTATATAATTAATAATCAAATATATATGAGAGTTTTGATGAATTAAATTTCAGACAGTAAGCTAAAGAAAGAATCAATTTCAGTCAATTTCGAGAAAGCATTGATAATAATTTAATTTAAAAATTAATTTAAATCTTAGTTACAATAATATTTAATATTACAAATTGACAAAATACGTTAATAAGTAATGCTCTTCCACATTTTGTTAAAACAACTTGTTCTTAAATAGACTAAAGATGATGAGCAAAATATCCGATTGTTTTGAAGCATTTTGTATTGATACTTTGATTGCCAAGCTAACAAGCATGAGTCTTATAAAATAAAAAATAGCGAAATTCCACTCTTCAAGTTGGGTCCTTGCGCATCCAAATACGGATGACATAGCAGTCAAAGTGTTTGATAATAAATCTGACAACAATAATAAATGGTTGAGATAATTTTGTTGTTCAACAGATGAATCGATATTATCGATACCGTCAGACATATTCGCGCATATTTGTCGATTTCTTGCCCAGCAAACAAAAAATAGGACTTTGCTCCGGTATATTATATCCGATGCCAATTCGTGCTAAAGACGGGAGCAGGATTATGATTATTGAAGGAGGGAGACTATGGAAACCAAAGGAACATCCTTTGGATGATTGCTGGAAAGGCGTATTATTCCTTCTGACCATAGCTATGTTGGAAACCAAAACTCAGGTTTGCAATTTGGACAAATTGATTTTTGAAATTCAAGTAAATTGTAAATAAATTGGTACTTAAAGAAAATACGAGATAAATATTTTGTATTAACCCGAAATTGATCAAAAAATTTATGGTGGTTGATGAAAGTGGTCTGCGATAAAATGCGCGAAGCTCTATGTTTAACAAAGTCTTTTGTTTCTCAGATCGCAGGTGCACGTGTCATCATAGACGTCGAAGGTTTGTCACTCAGGCAAATAACGTACCTCACTCCGAGCTTTGCCAAAATGGTGGTGGAATTTGTACAAAAATGTTTGCCCCTTCGTTTAAAATCAGTACACATTGTAAATCAGTCGTTCATTTTCAATGTGGCATTCGCAATTTTCAAACCAATTTTAGAGGTAAGATTCAACGAGAAACCAAATCGAAATTCATCATTACCAAATTGTATAATAATAAAAATTTCTTATAAATTTAGTCTTTTAAAATAAAATTTTTACAATATAATGTTGCAGGAGAAGTTTCGCAAACGAGTTATTTTTCACGGGACAAACTGGGAAACTTTAATAGATATCATAGGTAAAAATGCATTGCTTAAAAAACACGGAGGCGAACTTAATATGCCTGAGGATGAAGGATGGATCGTAAAACTGTGGCAGAATTGTTTTCCAGTTGAACCCGTTCTCGAAGGTGATCATCCTCTATGTATTTGACGATTTATAATGATAATATTCGATAATATTCACTAAATTAAATTATATTATGATTTAAATTTAATATATTTTGCATCAATATTGACAAAATTGTATCTTGTTTTAGTTCTTGAACAACATGGATACAAAACGGACATTAAAAAATGACCGACTGCTTGTTCAACCGTTATGTTGTCGTTGTTAACGTGATCATCATTATGGTTGTCACGAGTAATCACGCATGAAGCTACAATAAAAAATTAAATTGTTGGTATTTGGTTTTTTCAGAAAAGCGAATGCATTTCGCGGCTGTCACGATTGTTGGGTGCATCCGAGAGATGCGAATTATTCTGTCAAATCATACATACATAAAGAATGGTGTATTGAAAACTTAAAGTCAACAATATATATCAATATATTATAAGGAATAGTCAAAAAAATATATTAAGAAATATATTTACTTTCTGTCTCTAATTCTCTGAATAATACAAAGGTCTTAATTAGAACCTAATGGACCTATTTTGGCCCTTGCAACATATTTTATGTTCTTTTTTTATTTTTAAAATATTACACTATTTAATTCTATTTAATAATAATTTTTTTAGTTCTATAGAGAACAAGTAGAATCTAAAAAGCATACAAAATGGTTCTTATTTACATCTTTGTGTTCTAAAGGTACGAGTACGTTGTTAGAAATGTTCGGAAAATTTTGTCAGATTTAAGGTACTGAAGTAACTTAATTATACAAAATTAAGGTACTGAAAACGAAATTTAGTAACATTTAAAGCAAATTTACTAAATTTTTTAAAATTACTAAAGCAACCCAAGTAACAAAATGCTCGCACGTGCTGTGAGTCCGCGTGCGAGAAACAGCGCTTTACAGTTTTAGGAGTCGCTGATTCCAAATCTGCCATCAGATTTGCAAAATTAATTTGATTAAAATAAATAGTTTAATTTGACAAAACTCTTGTTAATTAAGAAAAATGCTATTTTTATTTGCAGGTACACGCTTCTGAGGAAGAAATAAAAGAGAAAGCTTTTCCTCATCCAACTGCAATTATGAGAGGCGCGAGCGTGTGTGTGTGTGTGTGTGTGTGTGCACGCACGCGTGTGCGCATTAATAATTAATTAGTTGTTTGCATATAACATACTTTAGCTTATATTATCTTTCTATTTATGTGCCAAGATATACAATTACAAACTGCATATATATTAAAATTAATAAACCAATAAAAATTTTTATAATTATTTCAATTTTCAGTTACAGTTATTGAAAATTACTAAATTGTAACAGAATTTTAGGACACGTGTGATTGAAGCTTTATGCAATTACTGTTTCTGAAATTTTTATTCTCGTTTAGCAAATTTTAGAAACGGTAACTGCATAAAGCTTAAATCACACGTGTCTGAAAATTCCTACATAAATTTATAACAGTGTAATCAAAAGTCAAATAATCCTTTAATTTTTTTGAAGAGTATAGATTTACATAAAAGTTAAAAAAATAAAATTAATATTATCAACGTTAATTATTAGTTACATTTCTTACAAAAAATTTTCTTTTTTACAAAGAAGGCACTTCCTCCAAACGACGTGTTTTGTTTTATCTGTAGATAAGGCAAATTCCTTTTTTCATTTTCGCTCTTTGAAGTTTTATTTTAAACAAATTTTGTTTTTTTTCTCATACAGATTTGGCGATATCAGGATTTAATCTAACAATAAAAAATTAAACAAGTACGTGCACGTTCAGTATTTTCTATTAGAAAAATTCTTTGATTCCAAAGGTTTTAATGTTAACAGTCTCTCTAAATTTGTTATCATAATCTCAGTGTCTGATATCCGATATTATTCTATAATGAATTGTATTATAGTAAATTGTGATACGGTCCGAATGATATTGCATGAAACGCGAAAGTAAGTTGTCTATTAAACTAATACAAATTATTTCCGTGCTATTGTAATTTTTTCTTAAAAATTGTAATAAAAATTATAATTTTTTCTTAATCAAAGCCTGAGCTCTTGAATTTGAATCATAACAAAATTTTACAGAAAAATAAACATACAAAAATTCCTTTAAGTAGTTATATAGTTCTATTGGTTGTGGCTTTGTATTTTTCCACACTACATAAACAAAAACGTGGTCTTATGTAGTATTGTATAATAATATTTAATTCAAATAATTCTAAATTTCGCAATGTCATACTTATGTAAAAGTGGGGAAAACGGTAGTGACTGTCTTGATCGCGCTACCAGGATGTAGTTCTTACCAGTCGTTCGAGCATATCGGTACTACTGACCTGGTCAGTCTATTCAGAAAAATTTCTCACTTTTTTTTCTTATTTTACAATTTGCATTGTCCATAGTGCGCACTTACTAAAACTTATCTGAAAGAAAACAAAAGAAACAGTGAAAGACGTTTTTTGACCTATCATCATCGGCGAGCAATTCTACTTTTATCAGTGTTGAAAATTGCTTTAATAAAGTTTTATAATAAAAGATACGTGATTTTATGACGCATAAAAATAATCGTGCGATCGGTTCTTTGATCGTCGAGATCTCTGTGAATCATATAGGTAAGTTTGATAAATATTTAGATACATTATATTATATATATATATATATGTGAACTGTATGACGCATATGGTTTCTTAGCACGTTGATCTTTGTTCATCAATGATAAACGTATGTATATTATTTCTCTTATCTCTCTTTTATTCACGCTTTAAGAATAGACAGCGATTCGTTTGTTTGATAGTAGAAAGTATAAGAAAGCGCAGTTAATAAAATAAATCTTTAATTATCTAGGTAGGTAAGCATTGTTTATTACCGAAGATGAAGTTGATTACGTATTTCAGTTTTCTTTCAATTGGAAGATATATATATTTAATTATTTATTTGAACATATTTTATAAAATAACGTAACTTCTTACTTTAAACAATCAATAATGCGATCAAATTTGAGATAAAAATTTATTTAATTTTATATAATACAATACATTTAAAAAATAGGAATATACACACATGTGTAAAATACATATTATTAATATATACTTTGGTACATATTTTAATTTTTCCAGCTTCTGAGCTATTTTCTGAGCTATTATATGTCTATTCGGAAAAAAATATAATTATATATTACATTTGCTCTTTTCGAGCAAAAAGCATAATTCTGCCTTTCGTCAATTGTTCTTTTGTAACCAAAATAACTTCTGCATCTACGAACAAGTGGAAATTTGTTCTACATTTGAAGACAATACAATAAAAAATAGCTTGGAGTTGGTTTCAAAAATTTGCATCAGAGGATAAATTCCTGAAAGATATTTTCCGGTCAGAGACATATTTCTGAATAATTCTTTTGGAAAATTTCCTTTAGACTGGCCTAAAGTTTATTAAAGTTTTGTTTAGTAACTTTAAAAATTTGAAAAGTTCTTTTAAGTAACTATAAAAATTTTTAAGTTTTGTTTAAGTTATTTCAGAGATTTAAAAATATTCTTGAGTTTTTGCTTCTTTAGTTATTGAAGACATAAAGTTCATGAAAAGTATTTAAAAGTTTATGTAAAGTAACTTAATGGTGGTGTTTAGTAACTTAAAGTTGGCGTAAAAGTAAGTAAAAGTTTGTTTAAAGTAACTTCAAAGCCTCAAAGTTTCTTAAGTTTTAGTCCTTGAAATCATCTAAGACTTAAAGATGTAAATACTGCAATGCTCAGAGAATTGAATGAGGAAAAATTGTGGAACAAATTATTCACATTGCACATTTATTAGCACTAAACAGATGTGTAATACAGAAGTAATAAACAAGTAAAAAGAACTTGGAATTAACCTGCAGGTAATTTGTAGTTAACCTTGTATTACACATTTGTATTCATTAATATTAATATTAGAAAAATTTACTGTATAAAACTTTTAAAAAATAATTGAAGAACACTTTTTCACTTATTAAAGAAATTTTTAAAAGTTTTTGAAGAATAAATCCCCTATTTTAATCCTATTTTAAAGTGTTCAAATTTACTCTTCCAATTTTTTGAAAAGATCTATAGTAAATCAAAAAGTTTTTTTAAGTTATTTTTTTTTTTAATTTTAAAAAGTAAATTTTTTTAAGGGATGACTAATTGAATAAATACCAATAGCAATCGAAGTAAATTCGAAATTAATTGTGCAATTAAAAAACTTACAATTGCATTCAATATAAGCGATGAAACCATTAGATTACATTTATATCAGATCTTTAACAACTTCAATGAAAGTTCTCATGACAACATATGATTGTATGTTAGATGCTTTAATAAAATGTTTAATTATGCAATAATAGATGCATTACAGTAGAATATTAATGCAAGTACATATTGTTCTAATGATTCGAATTCTGAAATGCGTATTTATCTCGCATGATATAAATTATTATATAATGTTTTTTATTTAATTTTTATAAGATTTATCTTCCAGTATATTGTGTAATACACTCGATGCTGTACTATAGTAAAAATTTAATTATTACTTTTTATATTAAATCTTTTAATTTTTGATGCTAGAAATGTTCTAATGAGACATGACAGATCAAAAAGACGTATATTAGACGCGTATAAACGTCCATAAACATTTAATAGACGTTTTTTTAACCTGTATTTCTCACTGGGTAATTAAAGTTTGTCAAATTAAATTTTTTTAGACTTAAATTATTAACCTTTTTATTGTTATTTTTAGGAGCTTGATAAAAACGCTTATTTTATATTATCGGCGTCTTTAGGTACTCATAATGTAAAATGTTAAAGTTACTATATCTCGTTAATATTAACTTTTAACATTTGAAATCACATGTTCAATGCAAGGTTTTACTGGAATTGAGTATTTTTAAAATTTTTTCTTGTCTGAGATTCTGCAATTAAATTGAAATTGAAATTTAATTTTTGCATATTTGAAATTTAATGTGTATGTTATACGCGTGTAAATTTGTCCCAACATCGCTGCTATTTTTATATTTCTACGCTCACGTCACAATATTTTATACTTAATATTGTTGCGCTCGCGGAACGATATTTCACGCACACGTCAACGGAACTCGCGAAATCAAGGAAATACAACACAACACTTCAAATAACAAAGAACACTTTAATAAATAACACAGAACTTGACAATTAGTAACCGAGAATACAATTAAAATATCGGAGCCGTCGCACACGTCCGCCCGAGCAGACAGCACCCGAAAATCTGACGTCTCATAGTTTATTTACAAACTACCATAGTGACGTCTAAACAAAATTATCATGGAGATTGTTTATAATATTTCAGCTGCTAAGAAACAGCTTCTTGAACAGTTGAACGACCGATCGATATTATCGATCTCTTTATCGATATTATCGATTGGTCTCTCAGCTGACTGCACGCAGCATCAGCAGTGAAAAAGCACAGGCGCAACAATATCATAGATAAATTACTTTATGAATAGATAATCTTGTAATAATGTACAGGTTTTGGAATCTAAGAAAAACACTTTTTGCAAGCCATATACATAAGTACTTATTTCACATGTGCTATTGCAGCGAGCAAATCAGCTTAGCGAGTTAATGACGTCATTAGGCAAAATATTTTTGAAAATTTTGTGCTTGCTAAAACTAACTTTTTCGTATATTTAATTTGCTAATAATATTATTAGCTAAAAATATTATTCTAATAATAATTGTTTTTGTAAACAAGTGTTTGTTTAAATTTGTTTACAACAAACTAAAAAACAATCTTTTCGGAAGTTTATTTAATTAATGAATTTCTTTTTGTTAAGATAAGCAAATCATAAATATAAGATGAGAAAATCATAAGATTATTTTAAATTTCTTGCAAATGTGTTTTACAAAACAAAAATAAAAATTTATTGATATTAATAAATACAATTCAAATTCTTAAAATAAATAAATAAGATAATATTGCACTTTGTAATAGCTGTGTAGTGTGATAAGCGAATATTATCTTATATTATCTTATATACAAGTTTGACCCACGGAAGTGGGAGGATGTGATTTAAAATGGAGTGCTCATAAATTCAAACTCATAATTTGCAATTTATTATTGGCATTTTGATAGGTAATATTATAAAAAAATAGAAAATGTAATAATTTTATTAAAATATTATTGCTATAAAAGTAATAGCATTTTTTATTATTAAATGCTAATTAATTTTTTCAAATTTTTCAAAAAGTGAATTGGACAAAGTGGTTATACTGATTCTGTTAATTCGAAACGTTTTCTATATTTAATAAAAAAATCTAAATACTTATTTTATTTTTTTTTGTAATAAATAAAAATATTTATTCCCTGAGTTGACAAAAAGGCAAAACAGTGCCAGAGTTTTCTAAATATAAAAAGAGAAAGAAGAGGATTTGGGAACCTCTGTTATAAAATTCCTCAGACCGTTATCTCTCTGCGAGATTCTTGCAGCACGCAGTTCCAGTACGTATTCAACGGTGCATTGCACTTTGTTCATGTTAGAGTTCCTCAAGTAAAAGTTAGGACACCGAGATGATAATTTTTGATTAATGCGCCATATACGATAGAGAAGCAGCCAGAAAAAGTAGCATTAAAATAGTAGTAAATGAGGTATGTATACGCTAATAAACTTATTAAATATAAAAATAGAATTATGTAGAAAAAAACAAATCGGCAGTATCTGAGAGTATTCTCATTATTGACCTGCATTTTTCCTGCACCGTGTCGTGAACGCGTAAATTCGGAGAAACCTAAATGGTTAACTTTAAATGCATCCCAAAATAATCTCAAAAATGTGCCATTATCGTGTGGTGTGGTTGATGTGGGACACCTTATATATTATATTGCATAATTATTTTAATTTCTTTATTAAAAAATTAATTACTTTGGAAAAAAAATAGTTCTGTAATTTTAATAAGTTGAAACAAATAATTTGAATCAAGCGCGACAGTATTCTCTATTAATAGCGGTATCCTAACTCACTTGAGAAATTCTAATTTATGTTAGATTCGTGCGTATTTTACGCAAACGTACAAGTGATTAAACTTCCGTAATTTTGAAAATTTGATCGACATGTACATTATTGAATGATGCAGATCACAGAATATGCAAAATAAGAAGTTTGATTCTGATTTCGATTCGCTTTCGAAATTTGTGAATTATTCCGTTTCTATGTAGAAGTGCAGTTTGCAACATTGACATCACGTGCGAAGCGTGTGTATATTCGAAACGAAATATTATTTGTTCGCAATTTTGTTATTTCCTCCGATAATCTGCAATTTTATTCAATAGGTATTTATTGTAATTGATGAATATAATGTCCTCATCTGCAACCAAGATGGATGGTGCTTTAAAGGATTGTGTTAAAAAGGTTTTTGATTATCGGGAGGCAAATAAAATAGAATTTCTAATGTTTGGTGAACATGAACTAAAGTTTGAGCTTGATGATGATCTCGACGAGTTTTTCCTTCAGAAGGCACAAGAGGAATTGCGAGAGACGCCGGAAAACGTCGCCAAGGGCCACAAGGAATTGGCAAAGTTGATTGCAGGTAGCGAAAAATCAATCATATCAAAAAAACAATAGTTCTCACTTTTATCTCGGCAAAACTGATTTGTCTCTAAAGAAGCGAGGCGTAAACGAGAAACGCAGTCGATGCAGTTGTATGAATGCACTGAACCAGTTCCTCGCTACGATAAACCGCCGAGAACTCGTCTGCTTGATGTTCTTGATATTACTTTCTTTCTTCGCATCATTGTGTTTTCGTTTTCCAATCGGTTTCTATATTATAGATCGACAAAGAAAAAAACTAAAAATAGTTTGTTATTTAAAAAAAGAGTTTTAATACTACTCCTTCATTATTTTCTTCTCGCTCATCTTCGTAAATCTTGAAAATTTTCTTTGTTTAAAAAAAAAAAAATTCTCCAAGAAGTTTCCTAAAAATTACTTTTGTTGAATTTAAGACAACGTACAATGCCAGTGTAATAAAAATAAAGTTATTTATGATTCCAAATTGTAATGAAAATAAAAATAAATAATTCATAAAAAAAATATGAGTTTGTAAGGTCGCGACAAGTAAAAGACTTTCCCCTTTACAAAATTCTTAATGAAGCACAATGTACTCTCTGCAATATGTTTTTTCAGTTAAATAGATTAATTCCACTTTATTGTAGAAAATTGCGTAATACGTCAAAATAGCGATGAACAACGAATTGAATGTTAGTTAATTAGTGTTTTTCAAAATAAGGATAAAATTGGGCGAATAAAATTTATTATTTATCATGCATAATACAATAGTGAACTTAATGAGAACAAAAGTATTCAAGCAACACAAACTCTATATAAATTCAATCATAATCGTGCGAATCGAGTAAGAATGAAAGTTGCTTACATATGTGATAATCTCCAATAAAATCACGTTTCCGCCGAGACAAAAACGACGAGCAAAAATTTAAACAAGAATTATTATTAAGAAAACACAAATTTTTATACGATAAAATGACTCATAACTGAATAACTGATAATTAGCAATTGTAATATTAATTGCGGATAAAATTTTCTCTTTAATTTTAATAAAAATAGTATGTACACTGAAAAAAAAGTTTTGTTGTGTTACAAGAAATTCTGGTTGATTCTACAAGTCCGTTTCTTCGAAAATGGACAAAACAAATTTTTTTTTGGATTTACCAGAAAATTCTAATTAATTTTATCCTGTTTAAATCTACCAGAATTTCTTGTTAACTTTACTGTATCCTTTTGTTAGGTTAACACAACTTTGTAGTTAAAAAACGAGTTTGGATAGGTGTTGTTTTTTTTTTAATTCGGGAGCCGAAAGCCCGGTAGAAAACATCGCATCACTGGTATACATATATTTCATAAAAAAAACAAACACCACGTGATCATAAAACTTTTCGGATGTAACCAATATTCCGTAATGGATTCCATGACGCGACGTAAACTTTTAGCGAGCTCTGTTGAGACGGTTGAGATTGCTCCGACTGCACTTGTTACACTGCTACTGCGCCGCGAGTAGCGATTTATATAAATATAACAAGAAGTTTTGAAGATCCAACAAGAAAACACTTAATCAGATCCTTTTAGTAAAGTTAACCAAACGGTGTAGTTATAAAATGTATAATCTTGTTACGATAACCAGAAATTCTGTTTTGTTTAATTAAAATACGCTTAACCAGAAACGTTTTATTAAGATAATAAAACCATTTTTCTCAGTGTATTATTAATTTTTGTATTATTACTTACAATTAACATTATTACTTGATAACTTGTGATTAATAATATGATAAACGGTATTGCATAAATTGCACTGACGTAAGTACTTGTCCATTCCGGATTGTCATCATTTCCGTGGATCTTTGACCTTTTGAAATGTACTTAAGAGATTGAAAAGAATCTTTCACGATAGCTTCTACGTGATAATCGACATTGTTTGTAAATTGTTTTGTTTTGCAATTATAAAAAAAGCAAAATTATTTTATATGTACCAGTAAAAAAATAAGTAATAAAATTAATTTTTCAACATTTTTTATTTAGTGTACTTTTATATTCACTAACACATATATTTTATAACCACTATATATAGGGTGACCATTAGAAAGATGTCTTAAATAAATTGCTATAACTTGGCAACAAATAGGCAGAATAATATGAACTAAACATCGTTTTGTAGAAGAAACTTGTCAATTTTTTTACATATAGTACAAAAAAAGTATATAATAATTATATAATTAGAATAAATATTTAAAAAAAATACTATAATCTGTTTAGGCGTTTAGTGATAAATATTTTGGCAGTGTTATCTATTGGAATTGACACAGAAACTCAAAAGTTTTTGAAATCTGTTAAATATATTTTTGAATATAAATTGAAAAATATTCTGATTGCATTTTCGAATACTTTGTTTCAACTTATTATTGTTTATTAATGGACAATATTTTAAAAATATTTATTACCGAGCGCCCAAACAAATTTGTAGCATTTTTTATGTTGTTTATTGTAATTATTGTATACTTCTTTCATATTATATGGAATAAAATTGATGGGTTTCCTTTACAAAATAACATTTAATTTATTTCATTTTTTTATTTGTTGCAAATAATAACGAATTACTTTAAACATCTTTTCAATGTTACTCTATGTATATATTCTTTACATTGTTCTAGTAACTTCTTTATTGCTTTCTTCTGTATAATAATAAGTGACACAAATTGATGTAATAAATTTTATTGTTACATTTAAATATTATTATTAAGATCGTATATTTTTGGAACGTTTAATAAGAAAAATATGTTTAATGGCAGTGACACGTTGAAATTAATTTTATTTTTTCTTGTTTTATTAGAATCACCTGATTTATTAGATTATGATAAACCATATGATGAACAAATATACCAAATATACTTGCGGCCGAGCAAATGGTATGCGGAAAGCGCTTTTGCTCTTGTAAGTCAAAACATCTCTTAGAAACATAATTAATACTAATAATTAATTTTATTTTAAATAATATATATATATATAGAAAGAATGTTCCGAAACTTGCACAATTCAGATATTGTAATATTAAAGTTCTCAAAAAACAAAATAAGAAAGTTTTTCACGATTTTTCAATTCAAGAAATAGTTTTTGAAATATAAGGATTTAAAACTCTGGCCAATAAAACTATATAGTTCAACAACAATCACTTGTTCTCTGAGTTCTCTTACTGAGTTTATTTACGGATAAACGACTGCTTAACTATACTACAGTTTAATTGACCAATTTTAAATCCTTATATTTCAAAAACTATTGCTTGGATTAAAAAATCGTAAAAAATTTTTTTATTTAGTTTTTAAGATTTTTCATGTTATAATATTTTGATTTGCAAATTACGGGAAATCCTGTATATATAATTTAATGTACGATTAATTTTATATGTTTTATTACATTTTATTACATTAATTTGACAGTTTTATTTTACACAATACGTCCCCAGCAAATATTTTATATAAATCTTCTTGATTCAGGAATAATTTTTTTGCAAGAACTTTTTTTATCAAAACAACTAAAATTTTTATATAATTAATAATCAAATATATATGAGAGTTTTGATGAATCAAATTTCAGACAGTAAGCTAAAGAAAGAATCGATTTCAGTCAATTTCGAGAAAGCATTGATAATAATTTAATTTAAAAATTAATTTAAATCTTAGTTACAATAATATTTAGTATTACAAATTGACAAAATACGTTAATAAGTAATGCTCTTCCACATTTTGCTAAAACAACTTGTTCTTAAATAGACTAAAGATGATGAGCAAAATATCCGATTGTTTTGAAGTATTCTGTATTGATACTTTGATTGCCAAGCTAACAAGCATGAGTTTTATAAAATTAAAAATGGCGAAATTCCACTCTTCAAGTTGGATCCTCGCGCATCCAAATACGGATGACATAGCAGTCAAAGTGTTTGATAATGAATCTAACAACAATAAATGGTTGAAATAATTTTGTTGTTTAACAGATAAAACGATTTTATCGATACCGCCAGACATATTCGCGCATATTTGTCGATTTCTTGCCCAGCAAACAAAAAACAGCACTTTGCTCCGGTATATTATATCCGATGCCAATTCGTGCTAAAGACGGGAGCAGGATTATGATTGTTGAAGGAGGGAGACTATGGAAACCAAAGGAACATCCTGTGGAAGATGTCTGGAAAGGCATATTATTTCTTCTGATCATAACTATGTTGGAAGTCAAAACTCAGGTTTGCAATTTGGACAAATTGATTTTTGAAATTCAAGTAAATTGTAAATAAATTGGTAGTTAAAGAGAATAAGAGATGAATATTTTGTATTAACCCGAAATTGATCAAAAAATTTATGGTGGTTGATGAAAGTGGTCTGCGATAAAATGCGCGAAGCTCTAACAAAGTCTTTTGTTTCTCAGATCGCAGGTGCACGTGTCATCATAGACGTCGAAGGTTTGTCACTCAGTCAAATAACGTACCTTACTCCGAGCTTTGGCAAAATGGTGGTGGAATTTGTACAAAAATGTTTGCCCCTTCGTTTAAAATCGGTACACATTGTAAATCAGTCGTTCATTTTCAATGTGGCATTCGCAATTTTCAAACCCATTTTTAGAGGTAAGATTCAACGAGAAAACCAAATCATAATTCATTATTACCAAATTGTATAATAATAAAAATTTCTTATAAATTTAGACTTTTAAAATAAAATCTCTATAATATAATGTTGCAGGAGAAGTTTCGCAAACGAGTTATTTTTCACGGGACAAACTGGGAAACTTTAATAGATATCATAGGTAAAAATGCATTGCTTAAAAAACACGGAGGCGAAATTGATATGCCTGAGGATAAAGAATGGAACGTAAGACTGTGGCAGAATGGTCTTTCATTTGAACCCGTTCTCGAAGGTGATCATCCTCTACGTATTTGACGATTTATTTTGATAATATTCAATAATATTCATTAAATTAAATTATATTTTTATTTAAATTTAATATATTTTGCATCAGTATTGACAAAATTGTATCTTGTTTTAGTTCTTGAACAATACGGATACAAAACGGACATTAAAAAATGAGCGACTGCTTGTTCAACCGTTACGTTGTCGTTGTTAACGTGATCATCATTATAGTTACCACGCGTGAAGCTACACTGAAAAATTACTCAAATCGTTGGCATTTGGTTTTTCGGAAAAGCAAATGCATTTCGCGGCTGTCACGATCGTTGGGTGCATCCGAAAGATGCGAACTATTCTATCAAATCATACATACATAAAGAATGGTGTTTTGAAAACTTAAATTCATCAATATATTATATGGAATATTAAAAAAAATATATTAAGGAATATATCCACTTTCTGTCTCTAATTCTCCGAATAATACAAAGATCTTAGAATTAATTAGAACCTAATAGACTTATTTTGGCCCGCGCAACATATTTTATGTTCTTTTTTCATTCTTAAAATATTACAATATTTAATTCTATTTAATAATAATTTTTTAGAAAACAAGTAGAATCTAAAAAGCATACAAAATGATTCTTATTTACATCTCTGTGTTCTAAAGGTAGAAGAATCTCTGACGTATAAATTACTTTTGTTATAAATCTTTAAGTCCTACAACAAGAGAATGTAAAAGGCCAAAATTCTGTACTTACATTTCGATTGTAAAATTTTTCAGAAGAATTATTTACGAATTTTATCTTTCCAGAAGTTTTTTGTTTATTGATAAACGAAGTATAAAATAAATTGCATGGATCACTGTTTTAATATTTTTTTAAAGTGTAATGTTCAAAATCATGTAGAAAAAGATTTGGAAAAGCAATTACAAAGCTCTCATCGATGTATAATTGAATATTATTAAATAATACGCATAAGACAGATATGTACATTTTATTTACATACCTATATGTCCTTAAATATATATTAAGTTAATAACATTTCTCATAAATTGATCTTCAAATCAAAATTATACCAAACGCTTAAGTACTTAAGTACATAAATATTAAATAGATAGCAAGACTGTATGACGCTAAACCACAAAAACACCATGTGTTGACATATTTTTTACGTGGTAAAAAATAAAATTTTCTATTTAAATTAGAAATTACTTAAAGAATGTTGATGTTTAATATGTTCAAAGCAACGCGGAATGTATATACTTATAAAATACTTTTATCACATAATTACAAGGACAAGAGAGTGAAATAAATTTCAAGTAATTATTAATCATTAATTAAATGATTATTAATTACTAACTTAATTGTTTTTAATTTTTGCAATAAAAAATAAAAAACAACGCGATGCAACGTTGTCTTGCAACGTCGTATCTTGTGACCCAATCCTAAGTCTATTGAGAACAAGACTTTTGAGAACAAGAAACGTAAGTAAAAATGCTACATAATAACATATAGATAAAATTATAAAGTAAACAAAGATATAGATTATTCAATGTGTTTTGAACAAAATAAAGAAATAATCCACAATTATTGTAATGGATACTAATTCGACGCTTCGCAGCAGATTAAATTTTCTATTTAATTCCCAATTATAAAAGTTCGAATATCTGCTTTATATATTGTGGTAAATCAGCCACGAAAGAGCTACTTCTTTTTGTAGCCATACGAATTGATAGCTATAACAGAGAAAAAAAAATTAGAGAACCAAATTGTATTATAAATATCTAAAAAATTTTTATCGCGTTAAATAATTTTCAAATTATAAATATTATTATCTGATTAACATTAATCATAAAATAATTATAATACATGATATTGTTTTTCTTCCCACTTACCCTCGTATTCCTTGTTACACAGGATTAATAATTCGTACCATTGAAATCCTTCAACATAGTCAATTTCCACACTACCGCCGTAACGCATTGGCAAACATTTTGGCGCAATATACTGATACAGTGATTTTCGATCAGTGCCGTGAAAGATTATCTGACGAGAAAAAATCGATGATGCAAATAAATGAATGAGATACAATATAACATATAAATAATAACATCACAAATAAAATATAGATAAAAAATTAATTTTGCGGATGCTTATTACTATTGTCTTTTGCAAGGAATTTATATATATATACTCAAACACACAAACTCACTCTATTCTTTAGCTTGTCCTGCAGGAAAGGCTTGAACATAGCGAACACTATGTTGAACACATAAGGTTGATTGATGACGTGTATATTCTTGACCCTCAACGGCATCGCGTCCTGAAGCAAGTCGACTATCCTCTTAGCAAACGGCGGGGTGAACTGCCACGTTTGCTGCAGGGTGAGACCGTCCATGTCGAAGATAACGACCGCACCAGCGATCTGCGTGGTCGGCTCCAGCATGGCCGCTTCCAGAAACAGCACGCATCCCTTGTAGACCTCGTCAAGGCTACACTTGTTGTGCTTCCATTTCTTTCCAAGCTCGATTATTAGGACACGCCGGCCGTGTTGGTCGCGATTAGGCAACACGGTTAGAATATTTTGCTCGAAGATATTCTTCTCTTTGCTCGGCATTAGAGTTGCGTATATGCTTGAGTGCTTTACTTTGAAGTTGTAGTATTGCTTGATGAGATCGCGCGCCGATTCGGGATAATACTTGCACGGTCTTAGAAACCTGATTAGCCAAGCTTCGTTGTCCAACGGAGTCTTCAAACTAGATTCCGCTTTGGAAACATGAAGAAAATTTTTTAGATCTTAACAGACATTCGAGAAGTTGAAAAGAAAAGTTCATAAGAATTTTAAGACATTTTTTAAGCGCTTAAAAAGATTAGAACTTCTTTTATATATAGAGTATTTCAAAGATCAAGATGTATTCAATACTGTTGTATTTTATATTTCATACTTTGCATAATAATTTATTAAACCGTTAGTATTTAATACGCTACCTTGTAGTAATTTTTTCAAGCGTGCTACTGCTTCCTTTTGAATTTCGGGAGTTTCTCTGAGTTCTTTTCTGGCTACTTCTTGTATTTCTGCAGAAGGAGGACCTACTTCGATCTCAAGCGTGAAATCGCCGATTTTCAATTTCGGTACTTCATGGAGGTCCGACAATAAAATTCCTGAAGAAAAAAGCAAGTTTCGAATTAAATAATGTATAGGTTCCTATATTATATTTTTAATCAATATAAAATTATTCTATTATTCTTATTATATTAAAAATTCCATCAAATATTGCTATATATACTATTTTATACTATATTTGGAATAGTATACTATTATATATTAATAGTATACTATTTTATATTATATTTTATATACTAATTATATATTAATAGTATACTATTTTATATTATATTTTTTTGTTATTTTATGTATGTGTGTACATGCGCAAGCGCTGTTTATTAAAGTGATGTAATAATATAAAAAACCGCCTTGACAAGTTTATAAAATCTGACTTTTACACTTTACATGTCAGCTATGTACTTTTTTATGCCAAACAATTAAATAAATTTATTCCATCGATTGTTACGTATGTTAATCATGTTATTTACATCACCTTGACTATCTGATGATTCATAATTATCATCTGAACTGAAAATTTTAACGAAAACAGTTTAAAAGCTAGAAATGTAAAGGAAGTTCCATATATACATTATTATCTGCTGTGGAGGCTGTGGTCTACTTGATGCTATAAATACTTCGAAGCGTTTCTCTCCTCTCTTCGTTAAAAGGAAGAAGAAAGAAAAACGTTTCGAAGTTTTGACGTTACAAAAGGATCGCTATAATAAATTGCAGCTATAATATTCTCTGCAAACATCTACGGAATAATAATACATTTCTATTATCATGATATAATCGACATAAGCGATGTGAATCGAAATTGATGACTTAAACATCGTGAATTTTTATTTTCCACTCTTAAAAAACATATGTAAAATTTTGATTATTTCGATACGCGTTATATATGCTACTCCGTGCTATTAAACGGTTGTCATTGCGAAAATTGTATACTTTGACAGTTCATATCTTGAAAAAGTTAGTAGTACATTTAAAAGAGAAACTAAACGACGTAGGTTTTTTGCTTAAACAGATTCATAAATTTTTACCCATAATTCATATGACTTGCGGTTAGTGCAGATATTTTTTTAAGTTATGTAAAAAATATTCAAAGTGTTTTCTTTAAGTCTTGATACACTTTTAAATTCTTTATTTAAATCCTTTCTGGACTTTATCAAAAACGCAATTCTACCGATTTAATATAAATGCTCGCTCGAAATATGGTCCGATTATTTCTTTTTAAATTATCCTACACTATACATTAATGTAATAACCTAATCACAAATTGAACTAATTTTTATATCTGAATAACAGAACTTGTTAAGTAACGCTGTATATAATGTTGCAATTTGCGACAATAATGGTGGTATAATACATAAATAACAGTAAAATTATAGTATTAAAGATATAGTTATGATATATCTTTTTGTAACTAAAAGAATAAATGGTGCACATAGCGCGTACTTGTGTATTAATTAAAAAATTGTAAAATAATTTATATAAGATTTGTGAAGTAATTTATATGAGACTTTTTCCAAACTTCTGCTTTCTCTTACTCGTGCAGCTGAAAGTTATTATATGTGTGCAATAAAAGTACATTATATTAATTATATAAACTCGTAGTCACAAGTAAAGCTTTTCCGCAAATAAATTTATACTTATTTTTACCAAGTTCTCGGAATATCTTATTAAACTCGTAAATTACTACTAGGAACGTCATAATAATCAAAGGATATGTGGTCTGAAAAAATAATTACGCCTTTAGCATTCGCGCTATTTAATATCCACTGTTTAATATACTAATATCATTAATGCGAATGAAGCGGATGGCAGTAGGCAGTTATCATTAATGACACGCCATGAACCTTATCGCATTCTGAATGAGTGTACTCGGATGTCCTTTGTTTTAGACTTTTATTCTTTTTATGTTTAGAAAAAGAATTGCTTTTATAAATTTATGTTTAAAAAAAGAATTGTTTTATAAATCCTTAGAGATCCATATAAAGCAGGCCTGAGTATATATATATATATATAGTTAATAATATAGTTAATATTTACAGCTAATACCGTCTCTGAGCTCTTACGTCTTTGAGAGCAGTCTAGACGCTATGAAACAAAAGAAGTGGGAATGAGTAAGCAAGATCGACCGAAAAGTGCAAACCGGTTCAAGCCTGAATATAAAGTGAAGGGGTCTCGGAAGAAACAATTTTATACAAGATAAAATACTTAATTCCGAAATTAAGAAATGCTGTTTGCCATGACATATCTCGATACTTATGAATTTGACAAGTAATTTATATATACATGCAAATATGAAAAGTACAGACATGAAACGCGCAATGTGCTCGTCACGCTGTGTGCTTGAACTTGCAATTTTGCGGAATGTAATTATTATGCCTCTTGAATCGGATATTGTTATTGGCGAGACAAAATAATTTTATGGTAGCGCGGAGTGGCTTCTACTTTTTGCGATGCATTGCGGCGGATCGCGAATTAGTTTAAAATTTTAAACGTACAATTACATTGCGATTCTGTCGAGGGCTGAAGTTACGACAGTCTTTATATTGCGAAGCAATAAAACAAAAGAAAATACGAGTCCCATTGTGACGTGCCCGATACATTGTAATTACGTGCCGAAAATAATAATTACTTGTCCTGAGAACGCCTTATTCGTTCTGCATGCGATATGAATTACGTAAAAGCTACGTTAATTAGAAACAGAAAAAACAAAATATCATAAAAATAATTGACGCGCGTTTGATTTTATATTTTTATATCATTTTATATCATTAATTTAAGGTATCTCCAGTATATTTATATGTTTTAATCAATTTTGATCTTATTTAGAATTCAACTTGTAAATTTTTTTAAAGATTAAAATTATCATTTAAATAATTTCTCGCAAAATGTATCTGAACCGATACTTTAGTGACTTGTTTGCGATCGAGATATGTCATGGCAAACAACATTTTTAAATTTCGAAATTAGGTATTTCACCTTCTACTTGTTCCTTCCGAGACCCCTTCACTTTATATCGATCTCTCAAGGAATTATAAAACAATTCTTTTTCTACATTTGTAAAACAATCCTTTTTCTAAATGTAAAAAGTATAAAAGTATCATGATAACAATCTTATTTTAAACTTAAAAATAATTAAAAAAAATAGCGTAAACTTATAAATCATTGTAATATATAACTAACATTGTAATAAATAACGGATATTTATTTATCAGTTAACTTTAGGTAGATTTTCAGTCAACGGATTGTGTAAAATTTTACAATGCATTTATTTGTACATTACTTAAAATATATTAAATTATATTTCCCATGTAAAAAAAGAGATTGATCCAAGATGAGAAAGTTTGATACTATCTCGAGTGACCCTAAACATAATAGGCGAAGAAGATTCCTTCACTTAAATGCTTCCTTTCACTGTTTTCTACACTTAGACAACCGCAAATGTACTTAATGCCACTTTCAACGTTGACGTCGTTAACTTTGTCAACGACTGGCAATCGACTAAAACACATCTTCTCATGAATAGCGAAAAGCGATTAAATCTACTATCGATGTTTCGGTTTACGCGCAAATTAGCAATTTTGACGAGCACCGTTCGCGTGTTGATCAAGAAATAACAAAACATGCATTTTGGTGCAGTGAAAAAAATATAACTCGAACAATACCAGTAAAAAATGAGCAGTTGCGTCAAATATAAAGCTAAAATTTATATTGTTGCTCGATAAAGAACGACAAGTCGCATTCGAATAACGAGCATAAAGATAAATAAATCAAGACCGTCGCGTTTTATTTATATCGCGCAGTTATGTGATTTAATAGTTCACATAACGCAAGGAATGCTCTAATAAAGTTGCAACAAGAAAATGACTTTCCTAGATGTAAATTTGTAATTATATTCTTCAGCAATATCTTTTACGAATAAAGCATCGTCTGTGAGTCTAATTACAAAGACACTGCATGATCGCTTTTCCGAAAAGAAAATCTAGATTTAATCTAGAAAGAGATATAAAGCAAAAAATTTTTGTGCGCGTATGCACAATATCTTCACGAGGAAGATAAGAAAGGTTAGAAAAACCGCGCAGTAAGATAATCTCAGATTTATCGCTTGACATTTACAATTTTGAAGAATGAAACTAATCCAAGATTTATCATTTCATCAAATCGTCTCTTAACGATTAAAATAGCATAAAATTGCATCTATTAAATACTGTTGAAATTTTAGAATTGTGTACAATATATATTCAAAACAAGAACTAAATTTATAATGTTTATTAAAAATAAAGTTATCTCTACGATTTTGCATATCATGAACTTACTTTATCTTTGACATGAATTGTTTTATTTATTATTCTACAACTTAAAATTAAACAGTGATAATTCTTTCATTTTTAATCGCGTGGTGTATCGCAAAACGTGAGAAACAAGCGCATTATTTTATCGAAACCATGATTGTGCACACGAAATAGTTATCATAAAACTGATATGTTTTGCCGCAAAACACGAACAAAAGGTGACAGATGAGCATGTTTAAAAGGTCAATCCTGCATTTTTTGTCTGTTTCTTTTTCTCTAGTAATAAAAAATATGTAATCACTTTTTTGTTAAGCAACAAGTTTTTGTCTATTTTTCTCATACAGCACGTTTCAAGTTTACCTTTGCAAATAACTGCGCGTGTTATACAGAACGTTTAGTTTCTAAATGTGCTAATTACTGATATCTTATTATTCTTAATAAGAAGACATCAATTAAATAAGTAAGAAACTTTTTAGATCAAAGGAAATGCGATGAAAATGTCATTGAGACATGATGACTTAGTTTTCTCGTGAATATTAATTTACGTGAATATCGTGTTGCAGCGATTCGGCAGTTTGCGTGTTTTATAATATCTGTGTCACGGCCATGGAGAAATTGATTTGTGAATTCAGAACTTGTTCGGAGACCAGTTTCCATTTTAAAATACAAACGCACTAACAAAATATAACATTTACCATAAACAAAGAAAATTAGCAAACTTCTGCGAGTTTGCGTTTTATAAAATTATTTCAAAAATACCAGGGCTTTATTCATTATCATTATATTATCTGCTTTAAATCGTAATTATTTAGAGATTTATATAATTAATTAATAATAATATAATATAATTAATTTATAATATAATATTGTACAATATAAACCTGTTATATATTACCGATCAAGAAGTGTTCAAGAAAGTAGCGAGCTGTGAGAAAAACGAGAGCGGTTTACGGTAAACCGCGTTGTTAACGGTTCGTAATAATATCATGTTGCTCACATTCTAGCAATTCGCGTCTAAAGCAGTATTAAATATTCAAGTATGTTAAAAGCGCGTTTGTTTAAAGAATCCTGTTGTTGAATTGCTAAAGTGTGTGAAATATATGATACAAATAATCAATATCGATATGTTGTTAAAGAAATTGTAAATGACAGTAATTTACGATTCAAGGATTTCGCGTAAAAAAATAGGTATTGCGAATTTCTTTTTTTCTTGTTGCTTAAAAAAAAACAAGCTACTTTTTATAGAAATTTCTTGTATTTTACATATCAAGTAATTATATGCGCATGACGTAAAGATGTAAAAACTTTTCTCTGTATCATGTGTCAGACTGTATAATGTACCATATTCTCAGAAAGTTTATAAAAATCTTAAAATTATAAATACAATTTTACTTCTATTATCGTTTACATCTCAATAACGTATTTATTTGAAACTAATATTTATTAAATTTATTTTTTTATTTACTTGAACAATATAAAATTTGAGAATTTATAACTGTTTTTTTTAAATTCTGTATATTAGCCATTATAATATAGTATGAAATTTTCAACATTCTTCATTGCAGAGAAGGGAATTGTAAGCAAAATACAATTATACAATATAACACGTGTGAGCATCAATATTGTGTAATAGAGCATTATAATGCTGTTGCAATTTTATAATTGTGAAAGTGCACTTTCTGCAAATTTCTTTTGCGTTTGTAATTTTGATTGTTTGTAACACCTTGTATGACGTTAACAATTAATTTAATTGCAACAAAATTATGGCAAAATTATACATTTGCAGTTTTGTAATTTTTATAAATCAATAAACAACAAGAACACAGAGAATAATGTTAACATAGCAAAAAGAGAAACTGATCCACGCATTGAAATAAATAATTCGAAACATTTTGTCATTGTGAATGATCGAGGTAATGCGCATGTAAGAAACAAACGAAAAGGTGAATAGGGATTCGATCGTTTACTTTATAAACGTACATTGCCATACACTCGACTTAGAAAGTTAACGTAATGTCAACGTGACCGTTTGATTTCATTTGGAGTGTTTCGCAATGTGATTCAATCTATGACTTCCACTGTATCACGTAGCGGTTCTTGGCATTAAATCAAGTTGTAACTTCATTCCATTACACATAGCAGTATATTATGATTAAAGTATGTATTAAGTACAAATTAACATATAAGGTATACAATTTTTTTTTCATAGATAAGTGAAGAATACGACATTTTTTTCGGCGACAATAACAAAATTGCAAGTGTAATTAAATTTTTTTTATTTGAGAAACTATATATAATACTTACTATCTGTTATCAGTGCCATAATGCACGGGGCGGGTCGCACTATCAGCTACACGCGACAAAAATAAAACACGAGACACGTCGATTACTCAGCGATGCCGGACAGCGATCCTATCAGCACCGAAAAACGTTTGAAAATGTGGGTAGCTTGCATCGGTACGCTCTTATACGCTCGTAAACTTCAGGGTCAAGACAGTTGCCGGTAACATAACAACAACCGGCTTGGATTTCCGAGAGCGCACACCAACTCCATCCATTCGCGGCATGCGACGTGACTTACGAGTAATTTTATTGTCGGTATTATCAATCTTCGCCGCAACAGTGAACGAAGTGCAATAGCAAACCGCAGTGTCCAGATGACAATGAGATTTATGACGTATTCGACGGACGCATACGTTAACTAATCGACACACTAATACACACACCGGACGATGATTGTTGGACAAATACATCACGTATAAATATTCAGTTTATGGCCGACGATCATCAATGTGTTGCAACATGCTGACAATTCGAATTCGATTATTTGAGTATCATGAAATATTCACACTTGATGATGATATCAAGTATTTATAAATTATAACCATATTTATGATAAGAAATATTTTTCGAAAAGTTCACGGTCAAGAGAGGTTCAAAGACTAAATGTCGAATGAAATATTACATGTTGGGTGCAGTAATCACATTGTTTATGTGATGTGTCGTTCAAACTAATAAAAAATATAATGCGAGAAGTAACAACTTTACACATTAACTATTTTCCGTGTAATAGATACAATTAATGGAATTATTACTATCACAAAACTGTCATTTTTTGTGCCACGTTATCAATGGAATAGATAATAAAATGTCCGTATACGGCTCATACAATAAAACCATATAAAAAAAAATATTAATCGACATGTCTAAGGCAATATTCTTCTTTTTAAGTTCTATGTTTGAAATGATAATAAGTTTCACACCTGGTGGCATTATCGTTATCCCGTTGAGCTCCAGTCTTTTGATTCCGTCCATCTTAGCGAAGTTGTGACCAATGACAGGTGATGGAACTTTTTCACTTTTGGTGTTGGCGTCAACAAATATCGTGTATTTTGCAAAACGAGACGTTCAGCGCTAATGCTTACGAGCGACACATCATCTTCTATATGAAAAAATATGCAGTGATTACGACAGTTTGATTACTTCACTTTGTGCTGTATAAGCGCTGCCACACTCTATTTATTGCCATTCCCCCACCTGGCGATCCGTACTTACTCGATGTAATCTATTCCATATGTAATTAGATTAATAATTCGCTTAAAGATATATAAACATTATTAGCATTTGCACAAGATTATTTTATTGATTTATCACTTTAATTTCTTCTGAAAAATATGTTTTATTTTTCTTTATTATAATGCAGACGCATGCGCGAAACATTTTTCTATTATCGAAATAAAAAGATTTTATTTATTATTTATTTGTAGATAATAAAAGATATCAAAAGATTTTATCTAATGATAAGTTGTATAAATTTTGTATCGATATAAGATAATCCCTTTATTTTAATTTACTTTAAATTATAATATTATTTTTAATATATTATTATTAACTGCTCAGCTTGTTAACTACATCACGAAAAAGCAGACTACTTTTGAAAAAATTGTATTACATTGATTCAAAATTTGATATTTTTGTGTTATTAGTTAAGATTAATAACTTAATAAGTATTGATTAGTGTTGATAAAAAATAATTATATTTTATTAAATATTTTATTTATTAGAGAAGAATGATTTTGCAAAAATCAAAGATTGATGGAAATAAACCAAAAAACATTCTTGATAACTTGATGATAAATAGTCAGACAAACAAAAAAATTTCTTTGATTGAAGACTGATTTCTCTCTGCTATTGATTCTACGAACAGTTTTAACAGATTTAAAAAATTGCATTAAAATCTTATAAAAGATTATCCCAAACATGAGTTCTCTACAAGTTGAATAATTCAGAATTTTTATAATAAAAAGATTAATATAATTAATCTCAATAAATGCATTACTGTTATTATGTATTGAATAAAGAAATGCTAAAAGCTTTAATATCGCACTTTTGTACTCTTCGAGCCAATCTTATTTCTTACTTCGGCTAATATTGTAATTGCAGATTTGTACAACTAACGGAAACGTTTGTGAAATATATGTTTTTGGTATTATTTCCAACCAAAATAGAAGAACATAATTGTATACGCGTACATAATCGTGTATTGTACATACATATGCAAACAAGTTACGATAATGTTAAGCATAACTAATGTTTATACATTATAGTTATCTAAATAGTACGAAAAATCGGTAATTTATTTGCAAAGATTAGACATTAATTTATCTGTCCTGTTTATGAAGTGAACTTGTTTGAAGACTTGTGTAGCAAAACGAGATTTGAAGTCTTATTAAGTCGTTAAAACTTAATTTTTCGCAAAAATTTAGAAGGCCTTCAATTAAAATAAGCTATTGCCTCAAATTAGGTGAATTGATTCCTTTTTTACTTAACTATTACGTGTGCGCGCTTTTGCAGCAGAATACAAGAAAATAATTAGCGACAAAATATAAAGACTGGGTGTACACTTAATACATGTTTTGCTTGAGAAGTCTTACCTTTAAACTATTTCCGTTTTATAATTGCGAAGGCAGTAGATGTTGCACTTTGCTTTTTTATCCACTCGCGTCACGTTGTCCGTTCTAGCGCTGAAAAGAAGTAAAAAACAAATAATCTCGGCTGATTGGTTAATGCGTGAATTAATTGTGATTGTAAAAAAATTTTAAATTGTATACGTCTGGAAAACAAGTTTTATATAATGTTAATAAAAAAATAATGTTAATGAAACATGTAATTATATAGAGCCAGCTTATGCTTTATACGCAGTTAAAAATTACGCGTAGAATTGATTTGTACTTCTAATGACATTCCATTGCAAAATTATATGTACAAATTTGCATAAAAGTATTCTTCCCCTTGAAAGTAATCTTTATTTTTTGTAAAAATCTAAACGTACATATATATTATCCTAACGTATATTTGAGATAAGAGATGCAAGTGATGGCAAAAAGCAGGTAGCAACGATAGCGTTAAACAATACAAGATAATTCCGTAATATTGTAAATAATAGAATCACTTTGGAAAGTACACATCTATAGCATTCAGCTTGTGTACTATCACTTCTAGATAGATGACGCAATCGAACGAAAACATATTGATCTAACATATACGAATAACGTTTCTAATAACGCGTTTTCATCCACTTTTTTGTACTCTCTGTGCAAAAGTTCAAAGTCAGTGCAAATTGCAGCGCATTACGCATTCATTAAAAAAAAACAGAAGGTTCAAAAAGCAATAATGGCGGATTGCAAGCGAATTAAGAAAAAACAAAGGAACAACTTGATTGATTATTCAAAGCATAATGTTAGCATAAAGCATAAAATTTTAATAATAAAGATATATGTAGAAAGTATTTGTTCAATATGCAGATTAAACTATTATTTACTTTAACAATTTATCTTACATAGAAACAAAGTATAATAATCATTTGTAATGTAAAACGCGAAAACGTTTTTATAAATTTTAATCTATATATTAAATTGTAAGTGGAATTCTGAAGACCGAATTCAAATCAAAACGTCAATGTATTATAATGAAATTGTTATTATAATACACACGCACAAACACTTGGCCTTGGCTGTTTTGCTTTTTATTTATTCTTTTGATTTTATTTTATGTTGGCCTTTGAATATAATTTTATTTTATTCCTTTTCTCTAACTGACTAAATATACTTGCAATTTTACACGAAATCTAGAGTGCTATCATTCAAACATTCCTACATCTTATCAGTTTTAATTCTATCATTTTCACTTTTCTTCTCTTTCCTTTTTGCTTTCTAAATAATGATCTTTCTCCTTCTCGTTTCGTGATATAAATTTCCGTTTTTTTTCTCTTTTTATTTTGTTTATCTTTTGCTAACATAAGTATTATACTTAAATATTTTGCACCGTTCAATTTTACTGTTTATATATTGTTTGTATATTTGAATATTTTAAAATCTTTCACACGAACGATCAAGACAACATAAACGATCAAGAATTCGGCTTATTTTAATTCTGTTTAAATACTAATACTATTCCGGTTAATTAGTATTTCCTGTCAAACTGTGATACCTTTTGAATCCTTTCGTCTAATTTAATAATTTCTGTTTTTAAATAAATAAATAATAAAAAATAATCCATCTGTTACTATTCTTATTTGTACTTAATTTGCACTATACAATTAATGTTGATTAAACAACGGTATGAATTTATGCATTTACATAACAAGGTGTAATCAACATATTTTAAGACAGAGTATTATATTTTATAAGAGAGTAAACTTTGATTAGATCTACTACTATTAACAAACTTCTTCTCTCACTAGTTCCAATATCTAATAAACATTCTCATTTATATACAATGTGACTGAAGCGGTACGTGGCAGTTACGTATATCGATAATCAAATGAATCTATGATTATATCTTTATGAATTTTAATGACAGAAGTTATTATGAATTTATAATCTAATAACCTATCTAAAAAGAAAATAAAATTATTCCGATCGGAGATTTTTTCGAATAATTTTATAATAATTTTCCAGGACACTAGAAGCTAACACACGCTCTTCTAAATATAATATTCTTTTGTAGAAAAAACTTTTGTCGAAAATTTATACTGATAAATTTAAAGAATTATTTATAAGAAAAAGAGAGATGCCGATTTCTACATGTTAATCGGGCATTGATCCAACGTTTGTGTAAGTAAAACCGACTACTGGCCGAATTATCGAGCGGAAACTCACTTTTTCTCATATTATCATGCATGTAACGCGGGAAGATAAAACTTTATTTGCGGAGGTGGCGACGTGTGTTTTGTGCGAACACATCGTTGCAGAACGTAGTCGCTTCCGTCTTCAGATAAATTTAGTTCCATTCGCGATTTTCCTTTCTATGGGCGTAGCGCGCCCGATGGTCTTTACATCACTTGGCGAGAGTTCATGCGTTGCAATTGCATAAGCACTTTCAGCGCAACATCAGAGGTCGCGTCAGAAATCGGACAATGCTAGAATACAAATTGTTTCTTGAAATTGATTATAATATACCAAGATAATGAGTGTTTCTCTTCAAAGAAAATATAAAAACTCTTAAATAGGATTACGCGTTTATATAAAAAAAAAAAAAAACAATAACTACAATAATCTTCCTATTCTGCTAAAGAAAGATTGATAGTTCGATTAAAGAGTTATCACAAAGATAATGTAATATAAAACAATTAATTATATAAATATCACTGCTGATTTATCGTTTGCTGCATGTTGATAATCAACGCAATTGCACAGACCTTTCTCCGTCGGTATT